GCAGGTGCTACTAATTATTTTTTTTTTTTACTGTAATCTTTCTATCCCAACTCTTACTCAAGCTGTCAATAGATGTCACAAGATTTGGAAAGTATGAGAAACTGAGGGAGATTTGAATTCTCATTGCTTTTGCTTCTGAGAGGATTTATAAACACTCCAAGTTGTTTTAATCTGAGAATTTGACAGCTTTGCAAAGAGACTAAATTGTCAACCTATCACTTCATATTTAGTTTTTCATTTATAGTAACAAGAGAAACCTTGTTAATCAGCAGTAATCATTTTTAATAAAGGAAACACTGATGACGACTATCAGTTTTTTTTTGGTTTTTTTTAAAAATACTTATTTACTTTTAGCTTTATTTTTAGTTGCTTTTTATCAACTTTTATTCAGGATATCAACTTACAGTAGAAAGCAGACAGTGTAAGATTTGAACTGGTGAACCTTTTGGTGCATTCAAACACCCCCACCCACAAAAAAAAAATGCAGAAAGGCACAGATTAATGGTCTGCATAAAAACTGTTTGAAAAAGCAGCTGGCAATTAAGGCAAAAGTAAAGCCTATTAAAAAAAAAAAAAAAAAAAAAAAAAAAAGAAGAAGAAGAAGAAGAAATGTTACAGGCCATCACTATTCTGAATCTGCTGCTATATGGCAGAGTTATAAATTTATTGAATTGTTTCCTGGGAGATTTTTTGCCTTTATTTTTCCTGGGCTTTTACATTTGTTGATTTTCCCAAATGCTGATAAAAAGAATCTGTTCTTTTTTATTTCAAAGTAAACTTGATGTAGGAAAAAATCATAAATATCATATATATATATATATATATATATATATATATATATATATATATATATATATATAAATTTAAGAAATAAGATGAAAAATATTTAAAATAAAAAAAAACAAACATTTTTTTTTTTGTATTACACCAGTTTTAGGAAATTAAAAGGGAGACAACCGTTATATTTGAACGGTGCTTTTCTTAAATTATGTATCATTTAAAAACTGACTGCTGCTTATTCATGATAACAATGATTGACAATATTTTTTTAATTTTGAAGTCAACTCAAGCCAGGAAATAGAACGTCTTTTTTTTGTTGGGGCGGGGGGGAGGAAGGATAAGGAAAAATAAATACATTAACAACAAAATATAAATATTAAACTAAATGAAAAGAGTAATATTAAGACAGAAGACTTTAAATATTTCATTTATTTACACAAGTATTTAAAAGAGTTTGTTTTTGTTTTTTTACTCATTTTTTAAAATATTTTTTCTAAAACCAAAATATTAATCAACATTATTACATGAATGAATACTTTGGAGATAAATTTACTGAGAATAAAGGTATTCATTATCATAAATAAACAACAAAATTCTTAAATGATACATAATATAAAAAGTACTATTCGGATATAATAAGGTATCTCTGTCTTACTTTCTAACTTTTGATTTTTTGGTGAAATGAACAATTTGACAAATGTGTTGCAGCTCAGACCACCAGACACCAGGTTCATTGACAGAGTGCAGTTTCTTTCAGTCAAACACTTATGGCTTAAAAATTACTCTTTGGCCAGATCATTACTCTCAAGTGAAGAACAAATAATTTCTAGCAGTAAACCAGATTTTATTCTTGGGTTGTAACCTACTGCTATAAGCAAACATAGAGATGAGGCATAGGTGCATATTTCAGCGGCTGTCTTCACTGTTCGTTCTGTGAGGCCTGCTTCGTCTCTCTGTGTGCTTTTTCACAGGATGGCCAGTTTAATAGATAACAATTTTCTTTGACTTGTCATCATCTAAAAAGGTAATTTACCTTCCTTTCTCTCTGTCTGAGCCTCTTGCTCTGTACTTTGAAGTTGACTTCACTTACTGATAACCATCGGTCAAAAGTAAATGTACCATACAGAGTTGTGTGACAGGTTCCACGGTTTTCAATTTAACAAGACCCCAGCTGACTCATATTGCTACACAAAATGAAGATTTAATTTTAACACACTTTCAGTGAAGCCAGTTTTCTGATAAATGACATTCAGTTACGATATTTTTCTCCATAACAGCTATCTTGTAGCCTGCTCCCTTTATCTGAACAATAACAATATGACCTGGCATAGTGTCAACAAAGTGATAGAATCATTGCATAAGAATATTTATCTAAGCACAGTTCAGAGTTCACCATACCAGAGTTGTAGTTTTGGATGCAGTGGGGGTTAGTGGAGTTGGCAAACTGTCTCAATATAACTACAACATTCTGATTGGGGTTAAAATCTGGTAAGGACAGAATCCAATGGATCCCTGGAACCAGATTTGTATCCTCCATGCATTATCTTCCTGGAATAAATCACTATCACAAGAAATAGCACATGTAAAGGGTGAGGCACAAATGGTTGAGAAAGACCTGTGTTTGTCCCACCTGACAAAAGATGTTTAATTAATGGTCTTCCAATAGAACACATCTCATACAATTACAGAGTCACTATCATCTTGTACAACACTTTGTTGACAGCCTGAATCTATAGTCTTTTGCAGTCTCCTCCACAGACAAACTGAACAAGAGCTGGAAATGTGACTTGTCTACCCAAGCAACATGATGCCAGTTGTCTATAGTCCAGTGGCAATGTTCACTGGCCCAGGCAAAGCACTGTAACCTTCACATGGTGTTAATAATGATACACTGGTTGGTTGAATGGCATCAGTGTTTAAGTGAGATGTTATTTGACATAACGTTCCTCTTCATTGGGTAATTATAGGTCTTGTCTTTTCATCAGCAGCAGGCACCCACAAAATAGCAGTACTTTGGAAAATGTTTAAATGGGATTTCTTTCTTAATGAAATACAAAGGGAATGAGGAGGATTCGACCCTGTATACATGGCTTGGGGAGTTCTAGCTGAGAACATTTGAAATGGTGGAACGTAACTCATCAGAACATATGCCATGGAAATAACAATAGAGTAGCAACAGGCTTTGTGATGTCTCGTATTTAAGAAAGGAGTTGTATGCTAGAAATTCATCACTTGCAAAAATGAATAATACTTCATCACTTTAATCTTAAAAAATAATTGAGGAGTATAATGCAAATGCCTTTTAAGTACTCCTATCTTAAACATTTAAGAAAATATTTCCTGTAATTTAATGTTTTATTGAATTTTAGATAATTTTGGCTCTAAGTTTACTATTATTGTGCTTTTATTTTCTGATAGTGTCATATATGGATGACAATATCTATAAAATTCAGTGTGTTTTTACACATACAAAAACAATTAAAAATTCTTTCAAAAATATTGGGGGGGGGGGATCAGATTGTAATAAACTTTATGATATACAAGTAGTAATTATAATTTTATTTAATAACAATTTTTCCTAAGAGTTACACCACTGAAACTGAATATTAAACGTTCTTAATACATATTATTCATAAGAGCAATTAAAAGCTTCTCTAATTAAATAATGTCTTGGCTTTATTGCGTTTTTTTTTACTTTTCTATTCAGAGCAGATTTTCAGTAAGATTGAGTGCAATTTGGTAAAAAAAAAAAAAAAAATTAGTGAATTAAATTCTCCAAAGTTTTCATAAAATTAAGGGTGTGAAACACATAAAAAAATAAATATTTTTTACAAAGATTTTAAAAAAAAAAAAAAAAAAAAAACATTTCTAAAATTTCACTCATTTGTGAATAAGTCCTGAAAATTTTATTAGAATGCAACAATTATTTAATTTTTGCAAGAATTTCCAAGATAATGTGTCTGTCACCACAAAAATGATGCTATAATTTGCTACACAAATATAGTACATCTGTTGATGCAAGAAAAACAACATTTTTCAGCAAAATTTTGAATGTTCTTAAAAGGAGTAAAAAAATTTATTAAATATAAAAAAAAAAAAAAAAAAAAAAAAAAAAAAATTATTTGATTTTTCCCCTTAATAATAACAAAAATTTTGATTATAAAACTATGTTTTTGTTATATTTGCAGCATGTTTTCATCATGGTATGCTGAATTTTTAGCAATTTTGGAGGTACCTATAGGTCACAAAGCACTGCTTGAGGTTCCCAATCAGGCTTGAAATTGTTCAGTACTGATAAGCATGTTGAGTGCTGATGAAGTTAGAGATTTGAAGAGACCTGTCATCATTTGATTCTTATTAACAACCACTATACACTTGGTGGGAATATGTAGATGCATGAACAATAAAAAAAATATATAACTTATAATAATAGCCTTAATTACTTAACTGACTTAATTGTTGATCACTGAAAATGTTTTTTTTTTCACTATTTATTTATTTAGTAATATCATTAGCAATACACTATATTGAATCAATTGCTAAATCAATTTTTCTTGCTCGACTTTATAAGTTTATCATTCATCCAGGCATTGAACATTGCTGCCACATCTGGTCTGTTGCTTCTGTTATATATATCTAGAGAAACTTAGCAAAATCCAAAGAATCTGCAATGTTATCGGTCCTAATCTGGCATCTTGGCTTCAGTCACTATCATAATATAGCTTTCTTGTGTCTTTTCTATATTTTCACAGTAATTATTCTGATGAGCTTTTCTCTTCAGTACCTACACTTCACAAATTTAAGCACAGTACTAGATTGGCAATTAGGTCTCATAATTTCAGTTGAAATCACTAGTTGTAACCCTAAGTTCTATGCTAACAATTTCTTCTCTCACACTTCTCACTTGTGGAACTCTCTTCCAGCTTCTTGCTAACTATGGTCTTTAAAAATTCAAATCCAATGTCAATTGTTAAATTCTGTCCCCTTAAATCCTATCCTTTGTCTTCTGTCCCCCCCCACACTTCAGCTTAGTGGCTTTTATTGCATTGCTTGAAAATCCATTAGCAATGCACTTACATGATAAATATAATAGCATATCTGTTATCATTATTTATTGATAATGTATTTATGTGGGATGCTAGTCCTCTTAAAAATTTTTTTCTGATAAACTCTAGAATGAAAAATCTGTATAGAAAATATTTGCAAAAAAGCTAACTTACTTTGAGATGAAAGACTTGAGTAGTCATCTTGTGAACTTGAATCCTGAAAAAAGAAAAAAAAAAGAAAAATTAAGCCCAAATAATTAAAGTGTTTTCATAGCAAGAATTAAAAAAAAATTTGTTACTCATCGTTTTTTTGATAGAGGAGAAATTAATTTGAAGACTACAGTTTATAGACTTAAATGCATTAAAATAATTTTCTCAACATTTTAATGGTGTTTTTGTTAAAAAAACACCCCAAAAAACAGCATTAACAACTACAAAAGATAGTTAAAAAAAAACAAACTAACAACTACAAAAGATAGTTAAAAAAAAAAAAACTAACAACTACAAAAGATAGTTAAAAAAAAAAAAAACTAACAACTACAAAAGATAGTTAAAAAAAAAAAAAACTAACAACTACAAAAGATAGTTAAAAAACACAACATTTTGATTTCAGGATGATCCTGAGACAATGAGGAAATCAGTTAACCTGAAGCCCAGTTTGTTTTTTTTTTTTCTACCCTGAACCAAGCCTGATGTCCACTCACGGTAGAGATTAACATTGCAAGAGGCACAGCTTATGCAGATATGTATAGAAGATAATGTTTAACTCTAGACTTGAATAGGTTAAGATTGTAGTGATCGGGGAAGCAACCTCTTGGGAGTTGGTTTCACAAGACAGTGGTTTGTGGAAAGAATCTATATATACATTTAATATATTTGAACTTTTTAATAGCATTCAAATGGAAGCTATTTTGTGTATTTATATACAACACGATGGAAGTAATTTTGCATATTCACATACAACATAAGACAGTGATTTAAATTTGGTTGGAATGTAAATAAACTTCAGACCTGAAGAAGTCTTTAATAAATGAAACTCATTCTCCCTATTAAAAACAAACATTACTGTTAGTTTGTAATAATTTTAGTAGAAAATTAAATGTAACCAATTTAGTTTTCCCCCCTCTTCACTACCGATTCTTTGTGTTATGTCGTTTTTAATGTTTATATTTGGCCAACTGTATAAGAAATTTATGTTACATGACCATACATCAAGCTTTCAGAGGTAAAGCAGATGCTGTGATGGGCTCTTGTTTATTACGTTTTAAATTTTTTAAATATTTAAGATACATTCTGCTTAGTGGTAAAACAGCAATATTTGTTTACTACATCTGAACAAATGAAAGGGTTTTCCTCCAAATATGAGGCTCAGCAAAGTCAGCATATTTGAAGCCTACCTGTATGTTATATAAGGTGAATGTTGGATTTAATTTTTGGAGTTGATATCAAACTGCTACTGAAATTCAGGTTGTACCAGTCCAGAAGGAAAACATAGAAGAATTTAGACTACACATTGGTGCTGATGAAAATTGAACATTGGTCACTCACAACACAAAGCAAAGTCTTTGGCTGGTGTGATTAATCTAACTAAATCTTCACTGTTGCTACGAGAAAAAGAATCCACAAACTTTCGTTATACAATCAAATTTCTCTTTGAAAAATATTCAGAAAATGTATCTCTTCTTTTCTTTACTTAATGTAGTTTTTTTCTTTTGAGGGGTATTTGGCTGGTTGATTTTGTTTAGTGGCTTATCAAACTATGGGTTATTTAATGCAGATAAAATGTATTATTAGTCATTTTTTTTTTTTTTTTTTTACTATAAAAATATATTTTTATACTTTTGTCGTGTTTTGTTCCCATTGGGGGGTAGTTGCCCATAGCTGGGACTCTTACTGGTGTTACCATCCCAGGTCAGGGTGGATCTGGGAACAACAGCGATCCTCAAGAGTGCCAATTTCCCAATCAGAATCCTTGTTGCTGGATATAGTTTGTCATGCCAGAATATAAAGTAATTGTAAAAAGGAATGTTTTCATCATTAATTTGCATGTTATTGGCCTTCATTAGACAAAACACTAAATCTGTGTAAGTCTTTTGTGTGTTGTTCAGAAAAAGATTTTATAACTTTTAAACTCTTCTCGTTTCCTCTGTGTCATTTTCTGTGTGCCAATAAATTATTACCGTAAACATTTATTTGAACTATTTTTTTTTCATAGGATTTTTGGTAAAAAGATCCTATAACTGAGGCACAAAGCAATATTATTTATCATCCTTTCTATTGTTATACTTTTTTTTTTTTACAAATAAGTGTTCTTTTTTTCCAGAAAGAATTCTTACCAGGTCTTCACATATTCCAATGGTTTGAGAATTGGATTTCGAACATTCATGAGATGGTGAATGGAAATTATCGCAAAGTGAACATGCCTCAAAGATGCACTCACTTTCATGCTTCCGCTTCTTGGCGCTGGTAAAATAAAAAGAAAGATTTAGTAAATTTACATAGATTTTAAAATATCAAGTAGAAAATTGTTTTTGCTTAGAGAGAAGGTGAGAAAGATAAAAATGCATTTTTATAGCCTTCCAATTGCTATTATAAACAAGCCGGTCAATCATATAGATTCTTTTATTTTTTTTTATTATTAATAATATTCACTCAATACAAGGCCCAAGAGCCACTCAAAGTAGAGAGTTACTGTGTGGCATTTTATTAACGTAAGAAAGGGCAAGATAACAGAAAAGATAGATAGGTAATTCTACAAATGAAGAGGTCAAGATTTAGCAAATAAAATTTCAGAGTTCAGGCAGAGACGTTAGAAGTATAGAGTTTAAGTAGACTAGAGAAGGGACCAGAAACCAAATCCTAAAAAGGAAACAAGGGATAAAGCTCTACTCCTGCTGTGTGTATGTAATGTATATGCCTAGGTCTGTGTTGTGCATGTGTCACCAACATGTGTCATTTTTGTGACGTACAGTAGCCATTAATAATTAAGTATAACTCAAAACTTTAAAGTTAAGATAAAACAGTATTTAATTACAACCGCAAATAAATACTTAACAAGAACAAAGAAGTAAAAGTCAACCAAAGATAATTAAGCATTTCAGTGAATACCTTGTTAGTAGTGCGGCTCAGCTTAACGTCCGGTAAATCTTAAATCAAAACCCAAATCATTGATGCACAATAATTCACATTAATTTGACTGGATAGTTCCACTCAACAGTCACTCAATAATCACTGCAGTCAGTAGCCTGACACCACTCTTTATACACATGGCAGAAAACATATATTCATAAGTCCAGAGTGTTACACTCAAACCTCAGTGTTGGTAGTTACTCATTATCTTCCTGTATTACAGTCATTTAATGTACATAAGAGCACATGCACGTACAATTGGACTGAATTTTATGTAAGACATTGGATTCATACATTCTCTTCCCACACAGGACAACAAACCAAAAAGAAGGATTCATGGAAAAAAATAAAAAACATCATAATCCATTTGGGGGATTTATTATTAAAGTAATAAATCAAATTATTTTTTAAAATTCTTTAAAAAATTTTGTAGAAATATTTTCAGGTTTGTCATTGGATGTGCACATACAAACCTATATGTCCAATCCTCCCATTCCAACCAAACAGAAACTGAAATGGACATCTGACAATAAATTATTTTCAAATTTCCCTTTTGACAAAAATTTTGTGTATTAGCAAAAGAAAGTTGCAGAATACCCTTTTGAGTCATTTTTATGATGTCTAACAATAATAGATGTGAAATTTGATGATCTGGCCATCAGTAAATCAAATCTCTATAAAACACATAAAACATGGCATATTAAATTATCACATTCCTTAAATTATCAACACATGTAAATGTAACAGAACACATTAATGGGTAATTGGTAGATACCTATAATTAATGCACAACTTAATTGTTTTTATTCATTTTACCACAAACAAGGCAATAAAGCCTCTAAGATGTAAGGAGTTACTGAGTGTAAGAAAATATGAGATAAAAATTATTAAGGAGAGAGAACAATAAAAAAAAAAAAAAAAGAAAAAAAAAGCACAAATTAAAACAGAAAATAACAATCGGCTTTTTATCTGAATTTTTGATAATCAACCCTTAGTTATTCCACTGATATACCAAGAAACAAATCATTTTTAAAATCATTTCACCTCAATTTATAAAAAGCCATTTATTAAATGCAAAAACATAAGTAAAACAATCTAAGGATATGGTTTAAGGGAACAGAATATGACCACTGACATTAGATTTTTAATGGTTGTAAAAGAAAGCTCAAAGCTGGAAGAGAGTTCCACAAGTAAGAAGTGTGAGAGAAGAAACTGTTAGCATAGAACTTATGGTTGCAGCTAACCATTTCAACTGTAAAATGATGAAACCTTGTCACCAATCTAGTACTGCACTTAAACTCATTAAATCTAGGTACCATAGAGAAAAGAGGACTTATCTTAGTTTTTATAATTGATACCAAATTTTATTAAAGTGGGTATTTTAAATAGATCTTATTTACAATGGATGCAAATTCCAATGTAGATATCTAACTTCATTATTTTTAACCTTATTGCATGCAGCTAATACAAGTGGATTAGATTTAATACAAGTCCCCAGGTTGTCATGAATAATGCGATCTTTTACAAGGTGCATTTTCAAGTAATGCATTTGTTTCCAAGAAACTTCCAAGTGGAATAAGGCCCTAAATTTCACTAAACATTGTACATATTATACAATCCGATTCTGTTTTTAAGCTCTTATGACTAAATTGTAACAGGTATTCCAGTGTTTGTCTCATTAACAAAATGTTTTCTTCTAAAAGACAAAAAACTTTATATTTTTACAATGAATCCGTGAAGTTATGGGCAAAATTATTGATTCCTGAAAGGCCAAAAAACTATATTGAAGTATTTCTGAAATGTCATGGCCTATCAAGTATTTACATTCAGCTGTTTTATGTATAAAGGTTTGAGAAAGGAAAAATCCAAGCATTGATTTACTGATTAAAACTTGAATTAGTGTAAGCAACTTGAATGGAGGCTTTTGATTCAATTTTAACCAGAAGAGTTATGTCACAAATTGCAAATAACTTTCATCAAAGTGGAGCAAAGAATGTATCACAACACACAGTACATTAATTTCTTGCATATAACTGCAGGTCAATCAGAGCACTCATGTTAAACAATTTCAATTACCAAAAGAGTTTTCAATGAATATACAAGTGTTGCAACTGAACCTTGTATTAAATTTTGATATCTTTTAAAAAAAATGAAATAAACATTTTTTGACTTGCTTCACAAATTTAAAGCTATATTAATTTATTTGTCTTCTAAAATCTGTTCTTTTGAATTTTTTTTTCTTGGAAAAGTCCCCATGACCTCCTTATTAAGAAAAGCATAACATTTTTTGTTCTTAATTTAAATTTTAATGGCTTTTTTCTGATAGTTCTTGAAAGAGATGAAAGTTTCCGTACCAGAAAGAAATGAATGAGGCTATTCTGTATGCCCTATTTGTTATGAAGGTTCAGAGAGGAGCTTCAGCAATGGCAGATCTAAAGCTATCCAACTAAGCTTTAGAGCATCAAAAATTGGGAGATTAGAGGATTTGTTTAATTTGGCTTTGACACAGTCCAATAAGTGATCTGATGAACCAAAGAGAGGTTCGATAGAGGATAGTGGGGAAGAGGCCCATTCATGATCTGGATCAGCCAGTATACAATGGAAAGATCATAGCAGCATCTAAATAATATTGGTATTGAACACGCCTACATATTCACCAATCCAGAGAGATTCATGAAAGGTCAAAGGTTGTATAATGGTTAAAAGTTTGGAAAATGGAATTAATGAAGTTTGACATTAAATTGAGACTGTTTATATCACTTTAACACTAATAATTTAAGAAAGGTACAAATCTAACTTTCTCTGCTCTCTGTCCTATTACCATCTATTTTGTCTAGGGTCTTAATTGTTTTGTCCAACACTGCAAATTGCTACAAAACAAAAACATTAACCTGAAAATTTTTTTGGAATGTTCTTAAATATTTTCATCAGATTTGATTTTTTTACAGATATATCCATTTAAGCAACTGGTTAGTGCTTTGAATACCGTGTGTAATGGATAATGGTTCAGAAAAATGAGATCAGAGAACCAAGTTTTAATTTTTAAAATTTTGTTTAATATATATGCAAATACTCTCAGGAAATGTATGAATTCAGCATATTTCTTCCTCTAGGTAAGTGTTAAGTAGTAAAACTTGTATCAGTAAATTATTATTAGCTTCCCAAAATTCTAACACTCTAAATATATTTTCTGGCTTTTAATAACCTACAAAAAGTTGATAGGTCATAAAAATCAAATTAATTAGATCAAGACTTTCAGCAAATAGATCTGAATGCAGGCAAAACACCCAAGCAGAACTCTCTGCTGGATAGAACCCCTTTCTAAGATAAATGATTAAAAATATTTTTGATTAGAAATATTAAATTTATGGATCAAGGCAAATATGGCGGAAGAAAGACTAAACTTCTTTTTTTTGGACTATGCCACACAAGCACAAATACTGTGAAAATATCAGAAACCACATTTTTTGATTTTTTTCAACACCAGCAATAGTTAAAATGGATATAATATAGAGGTAAAAAAAGAATATAATGGCATAATATAAATAATTGATATTCCAACTTTTTTAAAATAAAATGGTTAACCTTTTTCATAAAGAGGCATATCAGACCTCTATGGGTTTTTTAATAATAAAGAATAAATTTTTTGTATGCAGTTTTATCAAAGAAATTACATGTATTTTGCATGCAATTTTCATATCTTCAACTACAGAAATTTTGTATGTAATTTTATATGTTTAGGGTAAACATATTTTTGGTTGGTTGTTTTTGTTCAGCAACATATCCACCCATATGGGTTATTTAATGCAGAAATAAAAATATAACAATTCAAACTTTCTTATTAATTCAAGAAAAAGACATTATTCCATGATTAAAATTATAATTACGTGGCTACATCTTTTTTTAAACCAACTAATCTTACAAAATCAAATGAGGAGTATAAACTTGTTTCTCCTTACAAGAAGAGTTTAATCATAGCAAATTGATTATTACAAAAATTTTTTTTTGACAATGTATACAGGGTCTTTAATTTTACTATAAAATGTAGTTGTTGGCCATTTTGCTATAAAAATGTATTGTTGGCAATTTCATTACAAAAATGTATTTTTTTTTTTTTTAAAATTATGCCCCGAGCAAGGCATGAAGCCAATAGGATGCAGGGGGTTGCAGAAGATTTGGAGCAAGAGCAGATAGGAGTGATAGAAGAAAGGATGAGGAGAAGGATAGTGGGTAGATCAAGATTGACATTACATTTGAATAGTTGGAGATTATAGCTCTCAGGGAAACAGTAATTGGGAAGGGTGTTCCACAGGTGAGAGGTGCGAGGTATGAAGCTATTGGAGTAGAAGAGATGGCTACATTTAAAAGTTTCTACAGTGAAAGGGTAAGAGCGGGATGCCAGCCTCATAGGGTGCTTGAATTCATGGAGTCTGGGAACCAGTGAAAGCAGCTCATCGGAGCAATTACCATGAAAGTATTTGTAGAAAAGACAGAGAGAGGCGACGGCGCATCTGTGAGAGAGTGACTGTAGACGAGATGCCAGATCAGGGCCAATTATATTACATATCTGTCTCTGGATCTTGTCAAGAACTCCGAGGTAAACAGAAGGTGCCCCAGACCATATATGGCAGCAATACTCCATGCAAGGGCGAATGGTTGATTTGTATATTTGAAGTATCGATTCCGGGGAGAAAAATTTCCTGGCGTGGCACAGAGAGCCAACTTCCCTCGTTGTGGAAGAAGCAATTGACTCAATGTATTGCTGGTATTTTTACTATATACATGTATTTTTATACTTTCATAGTGTTTTGTTTGGGGCTTCATTATAAGCCCATAGCTGGGACAGGTGCTACCACCCAGAGTTAGGATGAGCCTGGAGACAACTGCAATTAAGAGGTAGTCCCATGCTTGTCAAAACATCTGGATCAGAAGCCTTGCTGCCAGATGTAGTTTATCATCCTCAGGACTATCAAATAAAAAGTTTGGAAGGAAAGCCCCATCAATACTAAGAAGAGTGATAACAACGGCTGGGATTGAGAAATTCATTTACCTTAAAAAAAAAAAAAAAAAAAAAAAAAAAAAAATTTTCAAAGAAAGATTTTATAAATTTCATCTGATGGTAGCACAAGTTACTCAGTCAATAAATGCCAAATATTTCCTTATAAGGAAACAGCTAATATTAATATTGCTGTTGGTACTGGTATATCATAAATAGTTTGGAAAAGTGGAAGCAATATATAAACAACCCACTCCTCACATTAGCCCCCGCCAATCTGTAGCTGCTGGTATATCTATTATCATTCCTTGACAGAGGAAGGCTGGTGGGTGGATAATTGAAGCTTATCATTTTGCAACTGTTTGAATTGTTACTTATCATTGACTAAAAGGTCAATGGAATGCAGCAAGCAATTATAGTAACCTAATTAAAGTAGTAATGATTTATTTAATTTCTGACCACTGACAATCTATTTTTCCTATGAGATTTTCATTGCACTTTCCACAGGTTGAATGCTGAAACTTGTTAAATTTGAACAGGACTAGTGGTTTATCCCTTGTTTCCTGTTTAGGATTGAGTTTCTAGTTTTTTTATAAAGTCTACACCAACTATAGAATTCTAACATTTCCACCTAAACTTTGAAATTTTATTTGCTATTTTCTTTTTTTTTTTTCTTTCAGTAGAAGGAGATAGCTTTGCCTATTAACTGATTCAGCCTCCTCATCTGTCTTTTGAACAGGAGTAGTAGTTTATCCCTTATTTACTGTTTAGAATTGGGTTTCCAGTTTCTTCTAAAGTCTACTTCAACTCTTTCATTCTAAGTAGCCCCTTGCGTCTTAGTGACATTACTGCCTTGCATGGGGTGAAATTTTAAAATAAATTTACAATTTACCCATCTGCAGGTTTACAGATTCTTTTGGTGTAATAGAAATCATAATTATTCAATGCTGAACAGAATGTTAGTTTAGTTTAATATTCAGGAATTATAAGACATAAATAAGAAAATACCAGAGCAGCAGAAAGATATTTCTGATTTTATAAAGGGAAATGCAGTTATGAAATTATTTAAATATTGCTATTCAAAGAACAAAGAGAAAGTTTGTACTAACATGCTACTTCACTGACTGGACAAATCAATTAACATTATGTTTCTTCTTTTTGAGTAAAAAATTGGGAAAGGCCCTGTACACATTCACAAGGGGATGAAAGGTGAAAATATTGCCAAAATGAGAAATCAAAATCTGAAATTTTATTTGTTATTTATTATTTTTTTTTTCCTTCAACAGGAGTAGATAGCTTTGCCTATCGACCAGTTCATTTTCTCACCTGTCTTTTGAACAGGGTAGAGGTTTATCTCTGTTCAAGATTGGCTTTTCTTCTAAAGTCTTTTCATCCTCTTTCACTCCCAGTAGCCCCTTGCATCTTAGTGACATTAGGTTCCTTGCTCAGAGTGAAATTAAAAAAATAATTAGTAATTTGCCCATCACCATGTTTCAGATTTTTCTGGTAGAATAGAAATAATAATTATTCAATGATGAACAGAATGTCAGTTCAGTTTATTATTCAGGAATTATGGGACATAAACAAAAAAAAAAATGCAATTATAAAAATTACTTAAATTTTGCTAATAATAGTGAAAATAAAAAATAAGAAACTATTTTCCATTTCATTCGTTAGTAATTCAGGGATTCATTTGGCCCATTAAAAAAAAAGGGGTGTCAGGTGATACTTGGTGCAATTTTGCAAGTTCTGTCTCCTCTCACAACAAACAAATGGACCAGATTTTTCCTTTTGGCCAGCAACAACTCAGACTCTACATCTCTTTTGTTTTTTTAACCATTTCTTTCCTCCATCACTGACTCCATCCCCACTACCCATCTCTACTTCATGACATGGCTTTCCAACTCTGCTCCTTTCATCTCCACCAATAGCCTGCCAACTAACAGGTGGCTCCAAAAAGTACCACCAATTCTAACTGAGACTGCATGTAACTGGAACTTTCTAACTTCCGGCTATGTGGTACTTGATCTTCAAAGTTCTTTATATGTCTAATTACATTTCCCTTAAGCTACTTTGAAGATCTTATTTCTAGAGTTTACTGCCTATGTAGTCATAATATCTGGCCCAGGTAAATTCTTTTAAAACCAACTTAACTTCATGCATGATCTAATCACGACAAGGATTCGTTGTTGTACCTTACCCCAGAACTTCGGAAACTTGAACAGCATGTAGAGAGGTTTATTTTCCATGTAAATGGAAAAACAGATGGAAAAAAAAATGAAATGGTCTACTTGAAATGGAAATTTTTTTTAATAATCTGATTTGCCAACTGCCACTTTAATTTGCTATGTCTGTCTTTTTTAAAGTCGCTCATCTGACAGACAACAAATGGTAAAGTTGGTAATGCTTTAACATATCCCTCTCACCTACAATTTACAGTATTTAGAAACCAAGTTCTACAAAGTTGGCTTGATTTGATTAAAAAAAAAAAAAAAAAAAAAAAGATGGTGGCAATCCCCCTCCACTATCTAAAATGGAAAATTGGTCACTCTAAACATGTCTGAATTGTAGGCAGCATGGAGTTTTACCACTGCCTTTTTGTGAAATCACAGTAGATAGGGCCAAGGAGATTAGGTTAGGGAAGAAAGATTTCTTTAACAAACTTGAATTTCCTAAACTTCTCAATAGCACCTATAATTATTATTACTAATTTTAATCTGAACATTTCATGGTTTTTCCTATTTGAAATTTCTTCTTCAGTTAATTACTGAATAAGCTTGTGGCAAGTTCTACGGCAATAAAATATCCGTAGAAATTCCCCTATCACATCGTTAAATATTTGAGCTTAACAACTTTAAAATATTGCAATAACGATCATAAATATGAATGCTGATTACTATTTTAAGAAGGAAAGAGGTTGTAGAAAAATCACGTGGTCGAGATAAACACTCAGTTGTGGAGCAAGCTAAGTGAATAATAATTCAACTTTGAGAAAGAGAGCTATTTATGGTGCCATGGAGCATCTCATTGCTTGGGCTGTGATTGGCTGCTGGTACTTGAGTGGAGGTATTTCTATATAAATACCAGCTTGATTCATCAGTTAGTTTGCAGGGCTTGTATTAAGTTACAACCTGCTTTATTTTTGTCTGCCAGCTGGATGCTAGCTGGGACCTTTACGCCGGTAAGTGCTGTTTATTGTATTGTTATTCTACAGAGGTACAAATGAAAAATATATGTATACAAACTGACAACTTTTTCCATTTTACTGAAACAGCCATTAAACAATTCTTTCTTTCCTTCTTTCTTTCATTTTCTCACCAAAACCAAGTAGCATTTCTGATGTCTTGTTTTCTCACACAATTAAAATGGAATAGTTCATTATTTAGGAGGTATAGCAGGAGATATTAAACATTTCCATCTCCTTTTTTCACTGAAACCAAGACGTGTCTCTGATATGTCTTTTGTCTATCCACATTGTCAAAACAGGATAGTCTCTTATTTATGAGGTATTAGCCAGGATAATGGTTAATGTGAACTAACAAAGGGAGTAACATGCACAAATATATGATTATCACTCTCATCACTTACCATCAGAATCTGCAGAGTCATTCCATATTGAATAAATCAAGCATTTGTTTAATGATTTGCCAATAAAGAAGAAATAAAACAAATTGTTTGTTTGTGTATGCGTGCATTTTTTTTTTATTAAAAGTAATAATTACTGAAAAAGACTGACAAAATTTTACTCACCGAGGAATTAAGATGCCACAAAATTCACAGTTATCTGGCTTGCAACATTCATTCTCATGTTCGTCTAACTGGGATGAAAATACTGCAGCACAGCAATATCTGCATACTGATGGTTTAGCTTCTGGGAGTTGTACTTCAAAGTTACAGCTAGTAAGACCTGCGTTTCTCAATTGCCTAAGACGTTTGATATCCCGGGCTAAAAGATGTGGAATGATGGAAAGCACCTCTTGGCAGTTGATCAGTTTGGTAAATTTTCGCCAGAGAAATGAATTGAAGAAACATTTGCAAATTAGATAGCCTAAATTTATTATTTTTGTAGGTGCACATCTCTTGAGTACAAAAGTGAATTTGATTCTTGAAAATTTTGATGTTTTTATAGTTTTTAACATTTTTTTTCTTTTTTTTTCAAATGGAGGCGACATATCATGAAATCTTGTCGATATGTTGTGAAGTGATTTTTGTCTGGGGGCTATACAAAAAAACAAAACAAACATAGAAATAAAAAACAATATATAATATAAATATATACAATTTATAGGTGGACCAATAAGTCTATAGTCTGATATGTAGTTATTAGTCAAATTTTGATATGAAATTTTGTTTAAGGTTTAATACTGAATTAATGGAATTAATTAATTCTGGAAAGTTTGTACGCTAATCATGTGACCCCTTGTTTGAAAGCTTATGTCATGTGGATTAAAGATTTAAGTTCAAGTATTCTTAAATACCATATTAAGCTTAATAATATGGTTTTCTTTTTAATGTAAGGTTCATCCTGTACAAGGTCCAGAAGCCACTCAAGGTAAAAGGTTACATTAAGAGGCAATTTTACAGATAGAGGGGAAGATAACAGTTAACTCTAAACTTAAACAGGTTAAGATTGGGGAAACATCCTCTTGGGAGTCTGCCCCACAGAGTAGCGGTTTGCAAGAAGCTGTTTGAGCAGAACTGACTTGTTGATAGCAAACTACCTACATTCTCTCCATATTCTATGTAAGAGGCATGGTACCTGCATCTTCAGCAATGGGTCGTATTTCTTAGCATAGAATGTCTAATGCTTAAAGTGTTTTGAATTAAAGAAATTCCATTTCTATAGTACATAATAAACAAAACTATGGTAATGAAGAATCATGTGTAGTATTCTCCAGTGAAGGATCAGCTCGAAATTGGAGAAGGTTAACATGTTCAGTCATTAAAAATTAATGGAGTTCCAAAAAGTTTGCCAACATTTGGGGATCTTCACAGAATCAAGGGAGACTTTGTCTAAGCTTGTAAAATTTAATGCAGACTTACTTTTAACATTTTTTTAGTTACAAATATCAAGCGTCAGGCATTTTAACAAGATTCAAATTTGTAATGACAATACAGCTCATAGCCTCAAAGTTATCAAACAAGTGTGCAAGGATTTGGATGTTGATTAAGTGTCATCAACTAGTTTGTGCAATGTTTATCTTCTCATGCTTTTTCAACAGAAAATCAAAGAATTATCATTCCAGCAAATCCATGATTAATTGTAGAAGCTGAAGATCAGTGATTAAAAAAAAAAAAAAAAATTAAAAATATTAAAATTAAAAAGTATCATTTCATCAATAAAGATGTTCCCCACAAAACCATGGAAAAGAAGCTCTTTCACTGAGGAATTTATTAAACTAAGAAAGACGTCATTATGTTTGAAGGGCCATAGCACCTTTGTAGTTATCCATCACTTGCAAGACATTTGTAACTACTTTTTAAAATTTTGCAACAATTTATCAGCTGCAAGACACAATATTAGGGCAGGTCAATTTTGGAACCATGGTATTGAACTCAATTTGAAAGTTGGAGTTTGACTTAATAAATAATAGTGAAATATTTTTTTCCAAATCATTACTGCTTTTTGAGTAAGCGAGTTTAAAGAATAAGTTTAGGTTCAAAATTGGAGCATTGGAATTTCATTCTGGTGATAAGTGAAAACCTTATAGCACAGCCCTATAAAATTTATAATTGAAATATATACAGTTGGTTTGAAATTAAAAGGTATAATAAATTCCATAACCAACAATTGTATATCTTCAACATTGATCCAGAAAATAAAGCAACAGTTGACCAAAATACAGAGTGTTGCATTAAAAAAATTTACACAATGCTTTCACCTTTATCCCAGAAAATATTTTCTTCGGTCAAGTCAGATGAATTAGAGGTGAGGCTGTAAGAAAGTTTTGTCCATTAGATAAGTAAACATTTATGTGTAATGATGTCTTTGGCTTATCCTCTTTTTCTTCACGTCAGTTTGGTTTCCTAATCTAAGTTAAATAAATGTGGTGAAGTCCACCACATTTCATTGGTGACCCCAACGTCATTAGGAAAGGCTGACATGATCTGAGAGGTCCGCATTTCATTGGTATTTTATCAAAGTCCACATAAAGATTAGTTGGCTTATATTTGTCCTGCAAGAGAAGGCACCAAAACTTCACTGTCACCTCATTCGCCAGTGAACCTAGTAAGAGGATCCTGAGAAACATTTCGGAATCAGCATATCTACTTGGCGTGCAAAATTTTTTCATCACCTTGTGCGAATTTTCACGTGACTCAACATGGCAATTCCAGACAGTTACAGAGTTGCAGTCCTGGTCAACCTTCCAGTTTTCAACACGATGAAATGATACTACTTCTGGGTAACAACACCATGTCAGACGCTTTGCCACAGAGACTCTGGCTGGACAAACTGCCGACCCACACCATGCAGATTTTGGCAACACTTCCCAGGGACTTGCACCTACTATGAGTGGCTGCAATAGCCGAGAGAATCGTGTAGACAAGGACTCTTAACAGCACTTATATTTCCTCAGCGGACAGCACACCACATGACGATACATTAAAGAAAATGCAGCAGCAGATCAACAAATTGTCTATGCAACTGGAGCAACTTAGTAGAGTGCGTTCGCGTCCAGCATACAATGCATACAAGTCTCGACACCATAGCAGATCTAACTTGAACACTAAGAGTAAACCAAACACTGGAATTTGCTGGTACCACCAATAGTTTGGACAAGCAGCAAGACATTGTGCAAAACCTAGCCATTTCAACAGTCAACCAACATCTACTAGTAAAAAACAAGCAGGAAAAGGTGACCCCCAACAGCACATGAAGAGGGGATCTGCTGTTGGCGGAAATCAAATTAACCGTCTTTTTTTTGTTAATGATACTAACTCAGGCGAGTTGCTTTTGGTGGACACTGGAGCCCAGGTCAGTGTAGTCCCACCCAGAGCTAAAACCACAACAGGCGAATCAGCATATACCTTGTGTGCAGCAAACGGTACCAAGATTAAGACATATGGTCAAATCTCTCTCACACTCAACATCAGTTTAAGACAATCCGTGGATGCTTACTGTGGCACAGGTGAAATTTTCTATCCTTGGAACCGACTTCTTAGCCTACTACAAGCTCGCCATGGACATGTCACCCTAATCAACCAGACGACACAACTAACACTTACAGGCATGATTTCCACATATACATCCACTAAGATCTGTGCCTCACTTCCTGAAAACAACCCGCTACAGCACATCTTAGATAAAAATTTCCTGCTCTTACGACAACTTTCACTTATACAGAGTCTGTCAAATACAACACTGTACATAGGATTCAGACATCCGGACCGCCCGTTTTTTCATTCCTTCATAGACTAAGCCCGGATAAGTACACTAGCGATAAACTAGCGAAGACTGAATTTCAACACATGTTAGACCTCAGCATCATACGACAGTCATCCAGCCACTTTGCTTCCCCACTCCATATGGTACTTAAGACACAATCAGGAGTGTGGAGACCCTGTGGAAATTTTTGACATCTTAACCCACAGACTGTACCAAACCTAGCAGACTTTGCAGTAATGCTTCAAGGTGCTCAGATATTTATGAAGCTCGATCTATGGAAAGCATTTTACCAAGTTCCGGTAGCTCCTGAAGACATTCATAAAACTGCGGTTTGTACGAGTTTTTGTGAATGCCCTTCAGACTATGGAACACTGCACAATCTTTCCAGTGGCTTATAGATGAAGCTCTTCGCAGATTACCACATTAATTTGCCTACATCGATGACCTGCTCATAGCTAGCAAAAACATGAATGAACACATAGATCATGTAACTCAAGTTTTTGAGCGACTCGACCACTTTGATCTTAAAATTAACCCTGATAAATGTGTATTCACAGTACCTAGGCTTTTTTTCTCGGACACGAGATAGATGATAGTGGCATTACACCCGTCGCCGATAAAGTAAAAGCAATAGAAGATTTTCCACTGCCGACAACACTTTGACAGCTTCTTAGGATTAATCAATTACTATCGTCAATTTATTCCTAAATGTTCACACATACTGGCACCCCTGACAAATCAACTCCATAAACAGGGGAAATGCAACGCCAAAATTACACTCAACGATGAAACGCTCACTGTATTCAATCAAGCTAAGGACACCCTAGCAAATTTCACCAAACTTATCTTCAAGAAGACGATAAAACACACTTATCTCTTACGACCAACGTTTCTTCAGAAGCAATTGGAGCTGTATTGCATCAGCATACAGGCGAGGTAATTAAGCCACTTTTATTTTTCTCTGTGAAACTTAACCCCAAATACAGCACTTTTTCGCGTGAGCTATTTATACAGCCATCAAACACTTTCGTTATCTTTTGGAAGGATGCAATTTCACTGTTTTTATGAATCACAAAACTCTTATTTACGCTTTACATGCTAAGAGTGACAAATATAACCCTTGTGATTATCGACAGCTGGACTATATTTCCCAATTCATGACGGATATTCAATACATACAAGGGAATTATAATACTGTTGCTGATACACTCTCGCGTGCTACTATTATCAATATGTATACCAAACAACCATTGAATTTTGAAACACTGGTTGATGAACAACAAAAGGACAACACTTTCAGACCTAAAACCAGATACATCATTACAAATTGAGCCACGTCCTGTGCCCTTCAGCAGTGGGTAATTATTATATGACACCAGTACAGGTCACCCCCGACCTTTGGTTCCTTCTTCCATGAGTAGACAGATAGTCAACCACTTCCATTCACTATCGCATCCTGGATGGCGGATTACAACAAAGTTAATTGGTGAACGTTTCGTATGGCCTAGAATGAATTCTGACATTAAACGTTAGACTTGTGTCAGATGCCAGCGAACTAAGATACATCGACATGTTAAATCACCCCCAGGACTTTTCACAGAACCTGATGGCCACTTTCAGCATCTTCATGCAGACCTGGTGGGTCCATTATCAGAAATTCACGGCTATCAATACACCTTAACGATAATTGACAGATTCACCCGCTGACTAGTAGTTATACCCCTTCAGTCCACCATGGCAGAATCTGTTGCTAAGGCAATATTGTGGGAATGGATTTCCATTTTCGGCTGTCCTTCGGTCATAATGACAGACCATGGTTCACAGTTCCAGTC